TAATAATTGTTGTTGTAATCATTTTATGGTTCGTGTTTGCGCACTTGTGAAATATATATACGAATGGCAGTATCTGTAGATCTATAGCTGCTGTTCGCATTGATATTATTATTATTATTCAAATAGCTACAAATTAGGCAGATGTCTGCGATGTGTGATCTATGACAGTTAATTGTGGCACGTGCTATCTGCATATGTTCATCTGTAACTGTTGAAGTATCTCAGCACAATAGATCTGTTAATGCCTGCTAATGTGCCTAATGAGCGACAGACTCTGGTCGCCATCTGCCATCGCAAGCGAAGGCATTATTAATTTAAATAGCATGTCGAGCAGGCAAATCGACACAGACGACGAGGCACGCAAATGCCTGTCAGACAGTTACACATGCAATGGGCCAACCTCAAATTGTTGTGCGGCCCAGTGGCAAACGACAACTGCAGCAACTACAACAACAACAACAGCAACTACAACAACAACAACGAATGCATTATTTCACACATTGCTCGGTTTGATTATTTGATAGGTTCGCTGACAGTTAAGAAATGTAAAGCAATGCTCAATAAATACCTTTGCGTGTCGCAGTTTGATGGCGCTTACTTTTATTTTTATTTTGTTTAATGGGTTGGTTTGCATTGATTTGTGAACTAGCTCACCAGCTGAACCATTAGTAGTTCATTTGCATGAGGCGGCACTTTCAAAGGCGGCTACTTTTATAATATCATAAAGAGGTGTTGCCCATCTTGTCATTCAAAATTATGATACATATGCAAGTTGCTATAAAAGTATATATTTTATGCAACTGTGAAAATTACAAATTTATTTAACACACATTTAACATATATAACACAACAATCTCACGCTATATCTAGATAGATCTTAATAGTTGAAACCCTCAAATATCATTCTCATCTAAACAAACAGGTCAAATATTGCATGAGACTCGACAATAATAATTAAAAAGTATTTATGACTTTAATTTCCATTTTTAAATGTTTAAAATGACATAACATATTTAAAACTGAAGCTTCTTCTTTAATTTAAAAATTACTATAATCAATGGCACCAATAATAATCCCAATATCGTTAAAACATTGCTGAGCAGCCAAAACCAAAATGATCAGAATAATTATTAAGTATGTCGGAATGGAGTTGCAGCTCAATGGTAAACGTGGCTCACTTTCACATTTGGCAGAAAATGACTAGTTGCCTAAGCTCATTAGAAAAGCCAACATTTTGTGCAATTTGCGAATTTTGGAGCACGTAGTTTAGCGATTTCAAATGTAATTTGCATAATTTTTGTGCTACCAACAGTTTATTGTGGCAACTCAGCAGTAGTTCCTGCTAAGTTGACGCAACGATAGGCAATAAATAAATATGGCTCTTATCGTATCGTATGCAAATGTTTATATTTGAAGTTAGGCAAGTGCTTGTTAAATTTGATTAGTGTATTTTGGGCTTTTGACGCTATTGTTCCGACAACCTCACAATTTACGGAATGCACACATAGAATTAAACAGATGACAAAGATTTGCATCTATATAAGTATAGACTGATACCTTAAAATATATATACATATATGTATAAATGTATGATCTGCGTATATCATATCTTAAAGCCTACAACGAATGTCACCTGTTATTTTTGAGGCGTGTAATTTGTTAACTCTGCCTTTTGTTGGGCCAACGTGAGTTGGCATTTATTCTGGGCAGCTTATTAGGGTGCAGCCCCCTCCACCCTCCACCGTCCACCTGCCCATCCTTCTGGTGGGGTTTCTATCGTATGCTGCTCATTTATCATTTTTTAGTGTGACAAACAAATAAAACGAAAAGTTGACAACACTCAAATCGCTCATTTGTTGTCATTTGTCTGACTCTTTGTCTGCCTGTCTATTTGTCTGTTTGTCCGTCTGTCTGTCTGTCTGTCTGTCTGTCTGTTTGTCTGTCTGTCTGTTTGTCGCTCCTGTTATTGTTTTTGCTTGGCTTGTTTGTTGTTGTTTATTTTGTATTTCATTTTGACTGGCGGCACTTAAGCATCAATTTCAAATCGCACATCAGCTGCCGACTTACGCGTGGCTGAACAATAGCTACAATATATAGATATATATGTATGTATATATTTGTATGTGTATGTTTATACTAATATGAGATACATATATCAGATTTAAACTGTCTAGATATATTTTGCCTGTTTCACGGCACATAAATTCCGAGTAGTATTTGTATTACACTTGCATTCGGCATCTCAGCAATCACAATTGCAATTTATGATCCAAAGAATATATAATTTCATTTGGTTTTCCTGCTTCACAGCTCGGCTCAGCTGCCGCTTGCAGCTCATAAGCAATGCCGTTTCTCGAACTAACTAACCGCAAAATGCTTAACTGGAGAGCCCAGCCACTAGACAGGGTCATAACAGGAAATTTGCTGGTTGCCACAGTCTGTGGCGCCACGGAGGGGGTGGGGGGCTGTACTGTGACTTGGCGAAAATCTAATAATGGCCACAGAGCCAAAGTCGACAATGTTCTTCTTGGCCATCTTAAGCCAAAGTTGAGTAGTTTATGAAGTGGGCCCATAAAGACCAAAAGTGTTAGACAAAGAGAGAGAGAGAGAGAGAGAGAGAAAGAATGAGACAGACAGACAAGCTGCCATTGGAGAAAAGCCTTAAATTGTTTGGTGATTTGTTGTTCCTGTAGTTGTGCATTTATGGCCTGGTTCTAACAGCGGCCATTATCATCTGGCCATAAGTAATATTAATAGTGCGGTTTAGCCCATATCGTTGCCACCAATTTTCATTTGGTTGCGCAGTCCTCTTTGTTTACAACAATTGCGCCAAATTACGCCCATCATTTATCACTAGCCACAAAAATTAACAGCACAAAAAAAATAGTAAAAAAAAATAGTAAAAAAAAAAAGAAAGAATCAAAGTCAATGCAATTAGATGTCTGGCCGTGAATTGCAAGATTTGCATATGAATTAAACGAGAGAGGGAAACGCAAAAAAAAAAAATCAAATGCTAATTTCCAATTGCGATTTCCACAGGCAGCAATAAATCTGTTTGAGACAAAAGCGACAATCTTAAGTACAACTTACACGGAATCATAAAGAAGCGCCGGCTGAAGCTCGAAATCTGAAATAAGATCTTCCGGTGGCGTATACGTAATCTCAGTCAGCTGCTGCTTTATGCACGACTCAAATTACCGTTTGTGTTGCGGCGAAAATATAAAAAAAAAAAATAAAACACACACACAAAAAAGCAAAGCAAAAAAAATCACAATAAAACAGATGTTGTTGTTGGCTGCGGCTGCTGCTGCTGCTGCGGCTGCTGCTGCTGCTGGTGTTGCTGCTGCTGTTCTACATAATGCGCATAATAATTTCGCTCATTTAAAACGTGTCGGCCAGCCAAAAACTGACTGACAGCCAGACACACACACACACACACAAGAGTAGTGCGCACCATAAATAAAAGAAGAAAGAGCAAAATACAATGGGAAGTCGACGGAATTAGCATTGCGTTCTACAATGAAAACGGGAAGCTGTTCAGCTAATTGCAACGTTTCAAATTTCGCGTGTTACTCAACAAAACGAATCCGAGCACCACATAAAATACAAAAAAATACTTTTTTAATCACCCACACGTTGAGAACTAAATCGTAACAAAATCACCTGCAAACTATTCTGTTGTGCAGACAGTGTGTAAAAAGGAGCTGAAGCATGGCATGATTTAGCTAAGTACCAGGAAATTATGCGAGCAGGAAATGATATGGAGCGAATAACTAGATTCATATAAATATAAGTATATATTTCATTGGCAATTGTGTCAACACTTAGTGTACTTTAAATGCCATATAAAATGTAGGGCATATTGCAAGCAGTCAAGCAAGTGGCAGCTAAGTAAACAATATGATAAGTCAGTATCATTAATTCAAAATATTTTGTAATATGAGCATTCGATTATTATTTTTGTTTTTATCCAAAATTGAATCAAAGCAAACAAACGATAAAAAAAAAACAGTGCACATTGTGTCCATTCCTGTATAAAGTTACCAATTATACCAGATTTTTAACGCAATCTGTTCAACTTTTTACTTATTTTGTGGCATATCAAATTAAATATTAATAAACACTTTTATCATTTTTTGTTATATATATATTTTTAGACAAGCTAGTGCTATTTTAAATATTTTACTTGGAACTCAGAATCTCTACCGAGTAGCAGCTGCATAAAGCGCTTAATAGTTTTAGTTTATTTTCTATTGTGTTCTTTTTTTTTACTAAGAACATTTTCACTTCTAGTGAACGGATGTCTAGATAAATTTGTGTTTGTGTTTTGAAATCCTCACAGTGAACATAATTGAATCGCATTTTGCAGTGGCCAAATGAGGCAGAGAGCAAAACAATTTTGGGATACGAGAGGAGTGCTGTTTAAAAAAATACAAGTGCGTGGGACACAGTGCGTATGATTAATGCAGGCACATATTTAATCATTTTTCATAGACCAAACTGACAGCAGAGTAGATGACATTAGATGCTGGGAATACGCCCACCAAAGCAGACAACAATTTGAGTGTTGCCTTCAAGGCGGAAACATAGTCCGATCAAATTAAAGAGCTGCTGGGGCCCAGTTGACAGTTGGCTGGCAATCAGAGCTAAATGAAAGGACACGGCACAATCGACTACAACTGACAAAACCTCCAACAACATGGCACACATTGTGTGTAGTGGACAGACAGGCACAAAAAAAAATTAGAAAAGACAAACTAAAACTAAACTCATTTAACTTTTGCCGTATTTTGTTGGCATTTTACCTTGGCCAGCAAAAACACTACAAAACAACTGTTATCAAAATGTCATTCATTCAAATATGTACCACGAGGCCACGGATCGTTGACTGGGGTTTCAGCTTCAGCTTCGGTATTGCCTCTACCCGCTGCCTCTACACAGCAGCTATTGTGGAATTCTCATTACACAATTTGCCTTTTGTTGCTTCTCCATCCTTGCAGTGCCCACCGACATCAACAGCATCAGCAGCATCAGCAGCAGCAGCAGCAACAGTGCATCCTCCACAATTGTCACGGTCGCGGTCACGCCGAGTAGCATCAATTCAAGTTCCAGCAGCAGCAGCAGCAACCCCACTGGCGAATCGCTGTTGGAGCAACAACAGCCGCAGGGTAAGTGCTCCGAACTAATCTCGCTCCCACCTGCTCCATTTTGCGGCACTGAACCAAACTAACAAGCAAACAATGTGGCACTCCTATTGCTTATAGGCCAATGCCTGCTTGACGGCCTCTGGGTGTCGGAGACGATGGTGCGCTGTGAGAAGCAGGCGAGTTGCCGCGCCATCCAGCGCACAGGACATTGTTGCCCCGATTATAAATGCGGTAAGTTTGAATTCATGCAAATGGCGGCTGTTGCAGTGGCAGCTCACCTTCCACTTCCCACACAGACATCATTTTTTGGGATTACATTTTTTCTTCTTTTCCGCAGATTGCGAAAAGGATGGCAAAACTTATGCGAATGGTTATAAATTGGTTGATCCGGATACACCATGCACCGTATGCTACTGCAAAGGTAAGCAAGCAGAGAGAGAAAGAGATAGAGTGAAAGAGGCTCAGATTTGTAAGAAAATATTACATTTAAGGATATCATCAGAAAGTGAATAATATATAGCATATGTTGGTCAACATTTAAAACTTTATTACTAATATTACTCTTGATCAAACCAACTAAAAAAATCATGGCAATGCTGAAAATTTCTAATGCAAAATTTATTTAATTTTAAATTTAAAAATTTAATTTTATTTAAATCGAAATCAATATTCAAGAGATGCAAATATGAACTTGATAGGAATAACATCCTATTATTTTTTGTTTAGATAACTAGAAATCTCGAAAAGAAATGCTGAAAATCTCTAATGAAAAATGTTTTCTTCTTTAACAACATTTTTGTATCTTTATCACATTTAAGGCCAGTTTTCTTTCTGAGCTACAATTTTAAAATTTATTATATACACCTTATATATAGATTACTAGCTACTCTTACCACATTTTATATTATATCTTGACATCGAATTCACGACTAATATATTTCTAACCGGAAATTAAGCAACCAAATTGAGTTTAATTACATATGATATTATTAATACAATAAACACTTTTATGAGTTTGATTAAATTTTTTAACTACAGTCTCTGTTGAAGTTAAATTATAATTTAGCAATTGTTAGATTATAATATTATGTAAATTTTGTAAGGTTCATTTTGATAAAAACAGAGATTTATGAAACGTATAATTTGATTTATATTTATGATTTATTTATAAAAAATAATTATAAAAATAATAATAAAAATATTAATATTAATAATAAAAATTAACAATAACAATAATATTAATAAAAACAATAATAACAATAATGATAATAATTATAATGATAATGAGAATAGAGTGTGCTTTCCTCAAGCAATGCACAATTTGCGAAATATTTTGTGTTATGAGAGGGGAACTCGACTTGGGTCAGAACTGCAACACTTAATTAAGGCACATTTTCAATTATTGCAGGTGGGGAGATTGTGTGCAGCTCAGTGACCTGTTTCCGACGCGATGATTGCTTGCCCAAATACGTGCCCGGTCGCTGCTGTCCCGAGTATGACAATTGTCCAAGTGAGCACCATCAAATCATAGTCAAATCTCCGAAATTATTAACCATTCTCATTCTCTCTCTCTCCATCGCTCTCTCTCTCTCTCTCTCTCTCTCTCTCTCTCTGTTATAGTTCTGGACAACAATCCACCGTTGGGCAGCGAATTGAATAACGTGGCGCCGCCAACAGCAAAGCCAATGCCGGCTGCACCGCCAGCTGGCTTCAATTGGAATATTACCATCAAGGAGATAACCAAGCCGACCGAGATACGCATTACGGATGACAATCACAAGGTCAAGCAGACGATACCCACACGCAAAGCACCAAGTACAGAGGCACCTTCGACGGCAGCAACAAGCACAACAAGCGCCACAGCAACAAACCCATCAACAACAACAGTCGCAGCAACAGTTGCAGCAATTGATATAAGTGAAGCGCCCTCAACATCAGCAGCAGCAGCAGCAGCAGCATCAGCAACAACATCGTCTGCTGCAGCAATGGAAACGATAGCAACACCAACGCAAAACACAGCTCTTAGCACGGACACAAACCCACAAAAAGCACTTCCAGTCAATGGCAATGACAGCTTAAAGCTCATCGCCTCTGTTGGCTACATTGAGAGGCCGCTCAGCAACAGCAACAAACACAACAACAACATTGTGGGACAACCACTGAAACCGTTAGTCAGCTATACAGCAGATGGCTTGCAGCCGGTGGCCGAGAATGATCCCAGCAAGGTGAACATCAAGAGGGAGTACACCACAGAGGGCGTGGCAATTGCTGCTGGTGCAGATTCCACATATCTACAGAATGGTTTCCAAAATGCACTCGTAGAAAATAATGCTGGTGGCATTGCCGGCGAACTGGAGCCGGATACAGCAGGCAGCGATAATATCTATCACATCATCTCCACAACAGAGGGACCCAGCAGCGGGGGCAGCAGCACCGAGCATCAACTGAGCACAGAGGGCATTTTGCACATTTCCGAGGAGAGCTCCACATTGGGCAGCAACAACACCTCGGAGCTGGAGTCAAGCACAGAGGGTTTAGTTCTAGCCAGCAGCAGTAGCAGTAGCAGTAGTGAATCACCCGCGTCGAGTACGACACATTCCTTGCATCACATGGAGGAGGATGAAGTGCCGCAGGTGGAATCGAATCCAGCTTATCCATCGCTACCCGAAGATGATTTCAGTTTGCGCGATGTTAATTTTCCGCTCGTCGAACTGGAAGAGCTGGTCGAGTTGGAGACCAACAAGGATGAGCAGCGCAGCATTGCCGGACCCTTTGAGCGGGACAATAAGCGCTCCAAGCCAGTCACTGATAACATACTGGATGCCAGTGGCAATGGCAGTGGCAATGGCAGCGGCGGTGGCAGCGGTGACACGGAATTCTATCAATCCTTGGGCTCCACAACCGAATACATGCTGGCCCAGGCGTCCGGCCAAGAGAAGGTGGCCATGTCGCATGTGCCGCTGATGTACAGCGCCGAGGATAACTCCGCCGAGACGCGCATTCAAAACGTTAACGAGCTGTCCAAGATTAGTGCCAGGCAGCGGGAAAATGAGACGAGCGGCGAATTGGACAACGGCAGCGGCAATGGTGATCTTCGAGAGCCAACAACGCCGCGAGCAATCAGCATCCCAGCGCTGGACATCGATGAGTTGGGCTCGGGCGGTGGCCAGGCACAGAGCAGCACGGCAGAGGATCCCAAGGCAGATGCGGAGAGTCTCAAGTTGGATGAGAACCAGGCCGAGCAAGCAGACACTGTGGCCAAAACAAACAACGCTGGCAAGGAGTCGGCCCGTGCCGAGAAGAGTCTCGTCGAGCAGATCGGCGGAACGGGGGCCGAAACGGCAGTGGGTCAGCGTCTGGAGCGACTCTATCTGCAGCGAATATACTGAGAGTTGCAAACAGGTAGCACAACAAATTTTTGGTGTATATACATACTATATAATACATAGCAGAGCTGTAATTTGCATAATTACCATAACAATTACCGCTGCAGTTAATTCAGTAATTAAAAAAAATGAAATGTGCGTGAGTAAAGTGCATTAAATCTGTTGCAATTGATTCACAAATTGTGACTATAATTAAGTAATCGTCATGGTAATTCAACTATACATTTACCAAGTAATTAAACTAATGCGCATTACTCAAGTAATTGAAATTGTTTGTCTTTATTCATACTGAAATAATTGTTAAACGTATGTAATGTAACGAAAGTAATTATTACAGCTCCAAAAAAGAACCAAGTAGAGTTGATTAGCGATATCGATAGGCAGCAATCGATCCTTTAATGCGACGTCAAATCCAACAGCATAAAGTCTTAAGTTTAAGTAGCAAGAAACGAGAGCCACATAAAAAAAAATGTCTAAATTTCGTAAGATGCAAATACAATTTTTAATGCAAATCTCAATCTAGCGTTATGCGAATTAAAACTTGAATTTATTTAGAGATTAAGCCACTAATAATTAGCAACAATTATATAAAAATCAAGTAACAATGAAAAATATTATACAGAAAACATATGTAAAGCTGGGCTCCCCAAATGCAATAAATATATTTTTATTTACTTTTCACTATTTGCACATTGCATGCAAAAGAAATTCATAGTTGTAGAATTTATTTATTTTCATATAAATAAAGAAACCTTTTTTTGTACTTTAAGAACACAGAAAAAATAACAAAAAAAATTTCACATTGACACGCCCACTCATACACTCACACATATAAAGCGACCACACAAAATTATTACACTTTTTATTTAACTTGTTTTATTTACTATGAATTTATTTAATATTTAATTTATTGCATAAAACGAAAGGTATAAAAAAAAAACAAACGAATTGCAAATGCTCTAGTGATGTTTTTTTTAAAGCAAATTATATAGTCTTCTTCGATTTGAAAAGCTTTTAAGTTTAGACTGAATATTGAAAGTTTTAATTTAAAGCAAATATTTTAATTATAATTTATAAACTTATTGAATAATCTAACAACAAATTTCAAAGCAAATTATACAATTTAAAATTTAACCCAACATTTATTTAAATATAATAAAAATAAAAAAGTGTCAAAAGTGCAGTCATTTTTAAGTTTTTAAGTCGAGAAAAACAAAACATATACAAATATAAATAATAAAAATTACTACAAAAAAAAATAAATCAGAATAAAAGATAATTTATTTAGGTGCGAAAAAAAAATGTAGTTGTGTTAAGCATAAAATAAAAACACACAATTATTTCAGAATTACAAATGTATGAAGATCTAAAAGTCGACTAGCGTAAATTTAGTATCAAGTTCATTTTCATGTGTACGCATAATAATAAAAGAATATAAATAGTAATAAAAGTTGAATTGATGATTCTCATTTGGGGTTAAAAAAAAAAGTGGAACTAAAGGTGTAATATGCGTAGCAACAATTGCGCAATTGGACACACCTACAACAACAACAACAGCAACGGCAACAATAACAACTTGACTTATCATTAAATATGCAAGTGCATGCGACGGCAATTACCACCAAATTAAATGAACAAAACGTAGACAAAAAAATACCAAAACAACGGCAACGACGAATGTTGCATCACAGGCAAAAGTTGCCACAACAACAGCAACAGAAGCAACAGCAGCAGAGACCGCAAAGAGCGACTCAGTTTACCCCTCGAGCAACAGCAAATTTTATTGAACTGTAATCCACAATACAGTGAAAATAAAAGTAATTTCGACTTATATAACAAGGTTGAGGAGCTGCAAAACGAACTTTGAATTCATTTCGTATGCGCCGCAATATCCCAAATGGGAGAAAGTCTTCGTCGTCGTCGATCTTCGTGTCTGTTGTTAGACGCAATCCCAGCAAAACACTTTCGTTTGTAGGAAGTAACTGGTTTGGAGGAGCCTAGACTTTCGCTTTTGTTCGCAGTCGATTTGAAAGAGCAGAAGTCATCATTTGTAATACTATTTTTGTCTATGTTTTATTATTTTTTTTTCTTTTTTTTTTTGTGTGTTTTGTAAAACTTAACAAAAATATGGTGAAAACCAAAATGGAATGATTTATGATGTGAGTGTTGACGACGTCTAGTTGCGTCCAATTTGATCGACCTGCGACTGCAGATTGTTTATCACCTCCGATGGCACCGTATCGCCGAGGATATCAAAGAGATTGATGCGCTGGTTGCCGGGTATCTGTTCATAGGCGCCCAGCTCGATGCCCTCCTGCACATTCTGGATTTGTGCATCCTTCGGGATGAGCAGCGTCTGCTGTGCCTGCCTAATAGCCTCATTTGTGTAGGCGGCACCCTCACGGGTCTGGGGCAAGCAGCTGACGCTGCTGGCCAGCAGCAGCACAGACATCAGTGAACACAGCGCGTAGAATTTCATGTTTGTCGACTGCAAAAGTTGCACGTTTTAGTTTATTTGATTTTTTATTATGTGTTTTTTTTTTTTTTTTTCTTTGTTACACACACTCGACGCTGTCTTACCTGCCGCGTGAGCTTTGTTGTAATGAGTTGGCTGCGCAGGCGCCGCACGCTTTTTATAAGCTGAGCCAGCGCTGGAAGTGTGGCGTCTGGAAAGCCGCTGGCACCACCAAACTTTTCGCTTGCTTATTTCTGGTTTTTTCTCTTTTTATTTTTATTTTTGACTAGAAGATGAAACCAAAAACATATCTTGCATTGGAAGTTTGTGTTTTTTTTGCCAAGTGACCCATAAAAGTTGATTATTTTTAGATTATTATTGGGCATTTGTCCACTTTTGTTGCGAAGGTTAAGTCACAACAGAAATGTCAAGAGGCACTTAACCTTCCCATGCACGCTTCCAGTGCAGAGCCAGAGCCGAGAGACGAGTGGCAACAAGTTGTTGTTCAAGTGTGGACATTGCTATCTGGTTCATTAATGATCGCGGCAGGCCAGTATTAATAAACTTTAACAATTGCGTACGGCTTGGTTTGCTTGCAAGCCATGGTTATTTTTAATATTTTGCGTAAGCCATCAACATTTGCACAGCACATCATCAGTGTGTGTGTTTTTTGCTTTTTTTGTTTTTTTTTTTTTTGTATCTTCTTTGACAGCGCAGCTTATCCATATTAATTACAAGACGATTAGCTCTTGGGTATTTATCACTTTCTTTGGCATTGCATAAGAGCATATATGATTGAATAACATAAGTAGGAGCCATTCAAATTATAAATGTGTGTTTTTCCAAAATTTAAGCTTTCCCATTGGTGAATCCCAGTTAGAGATTTCAATTTGCATTTTATTCTTCGCGGTAAATTTAAAAAATTTTAACTAACGATAGCAAATTCTTAAATTGTTTACGCAGAGTTGGCAGTTCCGTTTAACTTCAAAATGTATCGATTTACCACTGCGTGCACGAAATCGATATTTCAGTGTTTTTGCACATCACTATTCTGTTTGTGGTCCACCACAATAAATCGGCGATTTATTTAACAAATAATAATTTCTCATCTAAAACGTGAATAAGAAATTGTAAAAGTTAAACATAGCTATAGCGCCCAATAAGCGCAAGGACTAAGAGATAGATTCATTATCTAGCGCCGTCGAATAAGAGCAACAGAAGTGAGACAAAAAGGCAATTCTGAAACGCACGTGTATCGCAACATGGAAGCAGAGAACGGCGAGGGGCAGGTGCAGGTGCACCTGAAAACCAAACAAGAACAGTAGGAAATTAATAAATATACATTATTTATAAATAATATATACTATATACTTTTAGTTATGCTGTACCGGATGTGCCATATGCGATCGAGGGCAGCGTTTCCACAACGGAACTGAATATATTTCTGAATGCGCTGCTGCAGAATAAAGGCGCCGCAAGTGTTGACTTTGATTTTCTCGTCTTTGATGAGTATCTGCGCGGCCGTTTGTGCGATCATCTGCGCGAGAAGGCCATCAGTTTCGAGGATGCCATCGAAATCGAGTATGTGGAGCGTTTCCCGGCGCCAGAGCCCCAGGATTGCCTGTTACACGACGACTGGGTTTCGGCTGTGAAAGCATCGGGCAAATGGATCCTCACTGGTTGCTACGACAACACCATCAACATCTGGACTAACAAGGGCAAGCATATACTCACCATTCCCGGTCATACGGCACCTATTAAGGCAGTCGACTGGTTATCGCTGGACGAGGTGAATGGACGCTTTGTGTCCACCTCACAGGATCAGACAGCGATGCTCTGGCAATGGAACATTGACTCAAATGCCGTCGACTGTGTCTCTGTGTGCAAGGGGCACGAGCGTAGTGTCGACAGCGTGGCTGTCAGTCCGGATGCACAACGCTTTGCCACCGGCTCGTGGGATACAATGCTCAAGCTTTGGTCAGCCGAACTGGAGGATGCCGTCGAAGGAAGCGCAAAACGTGCCAAAGAAAGTGGCGTTCGCGTAAGTCGCTGCACGAAATTGTTTTTGTCCAGATTTACATTACCCGAAGCTAATATTTATATTTGAAATTTGCCATTTTAGACACCCAAAATGACGTTGCAGGGTCATCGTGAGAGCATTTCGGCGGTGCAGTGGATGGATGGCACCACACTGCTCACTGGCAGCTGGGATCACACGCTCAAGGTGTGGGATCTGAATTTGGAGGGCATCAAGACAGAGATATCGACCAATAAATCAATATTCGATGCGAACTTCTCCAAATTGAATCGATTGATTGTCACCGCATCAGCGGACAAGAATCTGCGTCTATATGATCCACGCACAAATCGTATGTCAAATATTTTGATTTCTAAATTAGTTACAGATAATATATTATATATATGTATTTTGCAGAGGGTTCTGTGGTGCGTAACACTTATCTGGGCCACAATGCTTGGGTACAGACAGTGATGTGGTCCACAACGGAGGAGTTTCTCTTCGTCTCCGGCTCGTATGACAATCAGAATAAATTGTGGGATTGCCGTAGTCCCAAAGCACCGCTTTACGATTTGCTGGGACATGGCGAAAAGGTTCTCGACATTGACTGGTCGAATCCCAAATATATTGTGTCTGGTGGTGCCGATAATACTGTGCGTGTCTTTAAATCGCGCAAAGCCACAGTCGATCATATGGAGACGAAGTAACATTTTTTGACATAATACCATTTATTATATATATAGTAAAACTGTTAGATGCCGCTAAGTTTAAATAAAATTGTACATTTATTTTGCTACAATCGACTATCGACTATAATGCTTCGCAGCAGATACCGGCGATATATTGCACAGATCTAGGCACGACTATCGATAGCGACGACACTGCATCGATACTAATTTGACAACAAAAGAAACAGCAAAAGCGGTCGAGCGCTTGTCTGCCTGCCTGCCTGCCCGACAACCACAACGACGACGACGGCCAACAATTTCTGCGAATTTAATGTAGCTGCAAGTTTAACAATAAAATAATAAAGAAACGGCACAATTCAAGTGTAAAGTGCAGCACAACAACAACAAATTAAGAACTGCAAAGTGTTAGACCAGCAAGAGAGTGAGGAGAGAGCGAGCGAAGGCGACGGCAGGGAGCAGAATAATTTGCAGTGTTTTCGCGACGTTTTCAACTAATCAAAATTGTGTGTGTGTTTTTGCAAAAGGTGCGTATTGTACAATTAACCCCATGCAGATTCTTTGTCTCAATGCGCCAATGTGTGTTTGACTGTGTGTGTGTGTGTGTTGTTTGTACAACAATTGTGCAATCAATGCTTGGTCTGCGAGGGGTTGGCGGCGTGTAGGGAACGCGTTTTGCAAATGTCTGCGCTGAAATGCTGATTGATTTTTTTACACACACTGCGTGCAGCCGCGTGCAAGCAACAAACATTTGTGCATATTTGATTAACGCTAAAATTAAACACTGCACAGAATGCACACATTGTCATTGCCAATGGCAAACTCCAAACTGCTGATTCTCTCTGTGTTTGCTGCTGCTACTGCTGCTGCTGTTGCAGTAGCAGCATCGGTAGCAGCAGCAGCAACGCTTGCCAAAATGGCCGCTTGCCTCTGCGCCTCTCTTTCTGCACGGGCAGCACACTCCGGCGATTAAATTTAATCCGCTGGGGCCTTAAATGCATAGATTGCGGCATGGGAGTTTTTTCTTTATTTTTTTTTCTTATTTTTTGTTGGCCTCAGTTTTACAGTTTGCTCGCCTTTTTTGTTTGTCAAGCGGCGGGTCAAGGACCTGCCGCAAGAAGCAAGAAGCTGCTGCTGCTTCTGCTTCTGCTTCTGCTGTTCCACTGATTCCGTAATTAGTTCGACTTATCGTTTAATAATAATTGCTATCAACAAATTAGAATTATTGTCTTGCTTTTTACCTAATAATAAAAAAGAAAAATAAGACATTTCTGGCTGGGTGGCAACGCCGCTGTCTCAAAACCAGTCGACTTCAAAACAAACCAATAAGTTGTGCCCTGTGGAGTTGTTCTTATTCGTTGAACAGCTTGTTTACTTTTATCGCAAACCTGTCAAATTGGTCCTGCACATTCTTTTCCTTTCTACTTCGCTTAACTTATGTTTAAAGCAAGTGATTGCTTGTGTATTATTTTTATTTTGGTTTCAGCAAAAGACAAGATAATTCTTGAAAAACAAATGAAAACATTTCCACGAATCTGAAGCTTTTCCATTTTTTTTGTTTTTTGTAGCCTTACTTGGGAACTGAGACACACCAACAAGAGAAAAGACTGTAATACGCGTTATGTCTTCAACTCCAGCAGCGGCGTCTGGTGCTGGCAGCAGCGCCACCAGCACCAGCGTTGCGGCCACATCCAGCGCCAGCTCGTCAAGCAGCACTGCCTCCACCAATCAATCCACAGCCGCCAGCACTCCAGCACGCGGACGCGGTGGCGCCAACACGAATGGTGGCACTGCTGCCACCAATGCGGCATCGGGCAGCAACAATTCGACGGGATCGGTGGCCAGTGATGAGCCACGCAAGGATACTAAGTCAACGCCTAGAATATCGAAAGCACTGGGCACCTCGGCCAAGCGCATACAAAAGGAATTGGCTGAAATCACATTGGATCCGCCGCCCAATTGCAGTGCCGGACCAAAGGGCGATAATCTATACGAATGGGTCTCAACCATATTGGGACCACCTGGCTCCGTCTATGAGGGTGGCGTTTTCTTCCTGGACATACACTTCTCACCGGAGTATCCGTTTAAGCCGCCCAAAGTCACATTTCGCACACGCATCTATCACTGCAATATAAATAGCCAGGGCGTTATTTGTCTGGATATATTAAAGGACAATTGGTCGCCGGCGCTGACCATATCAAAAGTTTTACTCTCGATTTGTTCCCTGCTCACAGATTGTAATCCTGGTGCGTAACACTTGAAATATCTACAAACCACATTGTAAATAACGTTTATTGGTCTGTCTTTTTGTTCAATTCAGCTGATCCTTTGGTTGGCAGCATTGCCACGCAATATTTGCAGAATCGTGAGGAGCACGATCGAATTGCGCGTCTTTGGACAAAGCGGTGAGTAGAAGGAGCGGCAGATCAATAGATCTAGACCAATGATTCCCCCCTCTCTTCTACACAGGTACGCAACATGATGCGCAAGTCTCAGCATTACACACGTACCACAAGCTGCAACAAGAAACGAAAATTCGCAAATTATAAATATATATATTAAAGTACGCTAACTATTAACTTAACAACATAACATACAAGTCAACAACAACAACAACAGACGACAACAACAAGAAGAACAACAACAAGAACCGTAAATAGCTAAACCAAACCCCAAATCGAAAAGGGGCAAACAAAATCTTACTGTACTTGTTAATTTGTCATTATGCTAAATACACAAAACAAAAAACACTTACGAGTTTCATACATATGTATAATTATTTATGCAAGCAAAAAGTGAAAAGTAATTGATTAGTTGCATGTTTAATTTGTTTGTTTATTTTGTTTTAAAGACAACACTTAAAAAACAATCGAAAACATAAATAAAACATACTGAAACGGAACTTTGGCATATGAACTAATCAACTACATAAATAAATAATTATAAATACCATTAGTTTACATTACGAGTATCTGTACAGTGTTAAGTAAAAATTGAGCTAAACAACAACAAACTAACAACAACAAAGCCTATTTTGGTAAATATACTTAAAAAATGCTTAAACACACAATCACAAATCGTCAGGGCATTACATTTTGTAATTTTGAGCAAATTTTTCATTATTATAAATTCCCATAGAAAAAACAAAGACCTCCTGATCAATCAAAAACAAAAAAAAAAGTAAAAAGACTCGATGTAGAAACGAATTACAATATATTTATACAACAATTTAAGACACAAATGTTTCAAAATTGCAAAAATCTTTATGTTATTTATAAACAATTTGATTTAGTTTTTCTTTTAATGTGATATCTGTAAGCGTCAAATTTGTTCTTTGGCTATTCTCGTGCTGTAAAAACTGTGTATTATTAATAAAAAAAAAATGCGAGCAGTAATAAATATTTAAAAATGATATATGAAGATTACGCAAAGAATCCAAAATTTGCGTAGTATTTTAAACAAAACGAAATCAGAATTTATAATAACATCAGAAGCATGCATAAAAACCAATAAAAAAAAACTTCCTATTATTTTGTAATTTTAATAACTCGATTTAGAGAAACAAAATAAAAGAATGCATAAGAATAAAGGATAAGTTTATGAGCAAGAAACTTGAATAAAAACGAAATAAAGGAAATTATTAAATAATGTACAACATTTCTATTAGTCGGTTGGGTAGAGATTGTTAGCGCTGGTCCTTCGAATAGAATGAGACTTGAAATATATCAGTCGAAATGAGAATATCCCTCTTTATCGGAAACTACCTAGACCACTTGGATAACCTTTGACCAGTTGGTAGCCAGGATCAGCAAGGATTTGGTCGACTTATGAACTAAAATCCTTTTATTTCGGCTTTTGACCTTTTTGTTGCTTTGTTTGAATAGACTGCCTATTATGGCCCAAAAGACAACAGGACAGTCCTTGAAATTGCCTAGGATTTTGCGATTTTTCTTTCTGACCTACCCCTTGTATAATTCTTAGGCAAATTTTAGATATCTGGTCATCTTTGAATGCCAATCGATAGTTATTTTTCATGTGAGCTCCAGTATATGTGTCCTTTCGTCCTTTCATTAGGAACATGGCTGATTCTAACGGACCATGTACTTCAAAAATCTACAAGAATATCTGAGTTATATTAATTTTATGATTCAGTAATTATCCTTGGCTTTTTTCTCGTCCTAAAAGTGTGCTTTAAAATCAGATCACTTTTTCAAGTAGTTCCAGCTTAGTTTTTATTGCTCGGCCTAAAAGTATGCAATAAAATATAATTGCTAAACAACCAGAAACAGAATTGTTTTTCAGCTATTAAGTTACCTTGGTTTAAGCCGTTAATTTTGGTATGTTTTCAAATTCAAATCAATAAAAGCCAGTAGTTTGCATTTGTCTAGTACATTTATTATTATTTTGTTTGTCAATAGTCTCATGTTTTCATTTCATGTTTTATTTCATAATGCTTAGTTATTCAATATTTTCTCTAAATAAAAATATGCATTTCTTAAAATCCTACACATTATTTTTTTGTTTAATTTACTCGCACCTAATTGTAACGCAGCTAAACTGTGTCATAAAATCCATTTATATTGTACATATCATATCCATTGTATATTTGCATATCTATTGTGGAGCACGTGTGGATTGCTGTGGGGTGCTCGATTTGTTATGTATTATTATTTATGCAATGCATGTGACTTGTTAGTGTAAACTAAATATATATATCTTATTTGTTATTTAAATACAATTAATAGCTCATGCACCAGAATGGCTTTAAAACATGTATGTATTATAAAAATAATTGAATACAGGAATTGCACTACATCCATCAATCATGAGAAATCACACGAAATAATTATGAATGAAAGATTGGCCAACAAATATCGAATGCCATTCCTTCAAAATACAGATGCAATTATGTAATAAGTTTCCAACAGATACTACACATTTTTGCACTTGGCCAACAGACACTACCTATAACTATATATATATATATAGATATTTATATATATATATATATATATATATAGACATTACTTCTTATCTAAAATGCATTCGCATTTCTTTTGTGTATAATTAATTGATATATTTAAGGCATTATCGCTTAAAGTACGACGTTCTGTATTTAAACGTGGCTTATGTGGCATTACCAAATTCTTATGCTAAAACAGGATATTAAGGAATTCGTTCTACGCTCGACGAGCTTTTAAAATACTCTTTATGTGTGAGACTCGATCATATTCATGACATTTAACTCTGATATGAGTTCTTTCTTATATACTTTTCCACAATTTAGTTTTCTTTTCTTCTATTCATTGACTTGTTTAACATTCGTTTTCAGTTTTCTGTTTGTTTATTTTTTTGTTTTGTTTTACTCACACATTATTTCACAGCACAATTTCCATTGACAATTGTTAATTTATTGATATTAGTAGTTCAGCTGCTTCTTGGATTTCTATATTATTATATATTTTAAATACCCGCAGTCAAAATGTTTATGCATAAGCAAAATTTGTATTTCGAAACCGAGATTGCACAATAAATTGAGTAAAAGCTTCAAGGGATACAAAAATTGGGTGTGTTTCATCATCACTCCCAAAAGGCTGGAATTTTACATGGTAAATTAATTATTCTGGGATTATTGGATTTTCAAATGATTCGAATTTTGGCAGCTGACAACATTTGTTCCAATCGATCTGAGCTAAGAATGTTCATAGAGGCTAATTATTAAATTTGCGGTTTTCACTTTGTGGTTTGACTGCAATTTTCGGCTCTTAAAAAACAGTCAAATAGCTCTTATTGTGTAAATGGTAAGTGTACAATATAAAATATGCCTATCACAAGGACCTAAGACTACAATATGTATCTACTATGCTTACACAATAAATAAACTATTTATAAATATTGTTTGCAATGCTCCAAATATGAACTTTAGTGAACCGGTTTGAACATTTTGTAGTATAAAAAGATTATTTCTTGTTCTCTACAAGGAAAGTACAATTGAACACTTGGTTATAAGTACGGATAAAGCAGATAGTTGCCGCTTTGAAGGAAATCATATAGTCAGACATAGGGTCGATTGAGAGTGCTCGATTCGATGCACTCATTTAAGAATGCATATGTAAACGACTGAATCGGCATAAATCGCTATGTAAGGCATTGGAGAGATTGCACAGGCAATGTATGCTCAGGAACATATTCAACTGTACGACGACTACAAGCGGATCGAAGTCGACTCCTCGTAGTCATCGTTATCGTTAATCAGCTCATTGCGATCATCGTCGATCTGGATCTTGTGGTGCGACGTATTCCGCGTATGCTGCTGCTGCTGTTGGTTTTGGGCATTTGATGGTGTGGCGGCATCTATGGTGCTGCTATTGCTATTGCTGTTGCTGTTGCCACCTGGCAATATGCTGTAGTTAAGATCTTTCGAGTTGCTGCGGCGATGTCGCAGAATGCTGAGTCCACTCGATGAGGGCTCGGCTAAGGCAACCTGGCTATTCAGATCCTTGGAATTGGTGCGTGAATGACAACGCGATCCGCTAGCGACGTCTGTCTCATTATTGGAATTCTTCACTTTGGCCGCATCGCTCACCACATTCTTGAGCAGGTTGACATTCTTCTTGGGATTGCTATGATGCGAGTGTGGATGCCGCAGAAAGTCGGCATCAAAGCGTATGTTGTTGGGCATATAAATCTGATCGTAGCTGTGATTGCGCGAATGCTTCTTCACAAAGTGGCCACAGCCGGTGGTCAGCTCATCGTCGTCATCCTCCTCGGCACAGTCCTGCGGCCGCAACTGATTCTGTATATAGCGTATGGGCAGTGTGGGATCATCACGCAGCGTCTTGTGACGCGCATCTTGCGGATTGAGATCCGTGGAGTGATTGCGTGTGTGCGACTGCAGCTTCTTCAGATTCCTAAACTTATCGCCGGCGCCATCTGCAACGCTGCCCGCCACATTGTGATCCTTGGCAAAGCTGCGAATCATCTTCACATCACACGATGCGCTCCGGAAATGCTTCTTTGACTTGGTCTGCGGCACATTGCAAGTGTTAGCCGCCGGCAACACCTGACCGCATTTGTCGTAGCTGCAAAGGATCCCAGTTATTACGTATTGTTTTTGTTAGATTCAAGGTGTTGTTCAGACTTACCCGTAGTCCATCTGCATGGTGCGCGAATCGTTGCGAGAGTGCCGCAGGATATCAGTTGGTATGATCAGTTCATGGCCTCCAACAAAATTAGTGCTTGGATCGCCGCCAGTCAGCTTCTCCTCAAACACTGCAAGTGGTAAATCAAATAAAGTGATAAACCAATAAATAAGCATAGAGTAAAATCTAAAATATATTTTCCACATGGCAAATGTGGCCAGGATATGCATCAATTTATCGTCAATATATAATTTGCAACTAACGTTTGTCCAGGCTGATGATGGAGCCAATGATGGGATCGCTGGCATTCAGAGGCTTCATTTTCTCGAGCTGTTTGCGCCTGCGCACCAGCCACCAGTCGACAAGGAAGATGCAGAGCGCAACCAGCTTAACCGAGGCACACAGACCCACATATCTGCAAGAGAAGAGCGTTAGTAAGAAACGCTGTTTGTTGAAGTTGCACCAAAATGTTGCACTCACTTGTAGCGGAACTTTTCAATGTCATAGATGAGACAACGACCGCCCTTTTCGCCGCACGACGACTTCCACATGATGCAAGTGGAGTCGATCAGATTGCCAAAGAGTATCGGCGCTGGTATATAGCCAAACAAGCGAAAGATCACAAATTGCATGCCCAGGGCAAAGGAGCGCTCCTCCTCCGAGACAGAGCGCAACACGATCATCAGCAGCGGCATTTGTGTGGATGCCACAATAAATGTCATAAAGAAGAGCAGTATGAGGAATGGATAGATAGTGCGACAGGGCGTCGCACAGGGCCCAGCTGTCGCCACCGGCACAACAGTGACCTCGGCAAAGTCCTCGTTGGCGCTGAGAGCCTGCGCCTGGCTGCCACCCGCACCACGATAAATGTTGCTCGAAATGTTGGCATGAACACCTACGCGCAGGGAATAATTAGCACAAAGTTTGTTTAGTTAGATTACAAATGCAAATTGGACTTACAGGCACAGTTCGTGTAGTTTGAGCTGGAGGAGAAGGCAGTGCAGCCAGCATGGCAGGGACTGAAGTAGGTCAAGCCGTTGTTGCCGCACACAGGTTCCACCTCGCTGGTGAGGCACTCGCAGCCAAAATTGCATGCGGCCGTCAAATTGACCTGGAACGGTTGATCCAGCGTGCTGCCATGCTTGGTGTAATAGGGTATTGTGGTGCCGGCCATTTTGAGATTGTCACAGCCGAGAAAGAAGAGCATCGCATAGCAGGCCAAACAGATGACGTTCGTGATGAGCACAAATTGAACGGCACCCTTCGGCTTGAGCTGAAACCGCTTGAGCACACAGCCACCGATGAAGATGCCAATGCAGGCGCCGGGCACGGCAATCGATCCTGTGAATATGTTTGCCTGGCTCTTGCCCAGACTGAATTGCGTTTCCAGATACTTGGGCAGAAAGACGACGAAGCCGGAGACAATCATCAGTTCCATGCAAGCGCCCAGGCAGGTAACGATGTAAACCGGATTCTTCACTAGTCGCAGCATTGATTGCGGTATATCCTTAATATCCTTGCCATAGCCGGTATCCACTTTGGGTGGTGGCTGTGCCTCCTCCTCCTTGCTGGTCACCGCCACAATCTCCTTCTTCACCTTGCCCAGTTCATCGGTGATCACCGTCGCTCCCGAATTGTTGGGCAACGCCAGCTGCACAACACTACTTTTGCGTATTTTCTTCTTTTCGCGCGTCAGAACCTTGGGGAAGGAGAAGAACGGCACAGCCACCATGAGCAATATGACGCCACACAGCAAGAAGCCGCCCCACCACAATCCCACCCAGCGTCGATCACCGGGCGCTGCAACAGACGAGGTCGAGTTTTATAGTTAAATATAGTAAATATATATATAAAGATATTCATATTCACTCACTTATCGATATGATGGTGGTGGATGACAGCGAGTCCATGTGGAAGGATAGCAGATAGGCGCCAAGCAGAAAACCAACGACTGGTCCAAAGGCCGCCATGCTGTACATGCAGCCAATGTACATCGATGAGCTCTCGGTGCGCACATGATCATCCACATAGGTGGTGCCCAAGGTGAAGAGCGGACTGCCACCGCAGCCGAGCAGCAGTTGGGCAAGCACAAAGAGCAGCACCGGTCCCGTTGTCGACGCCTTGCCCTCGAGACAGTTGTCCTCGCGCAGTGTGTGCGGCGCCAGCGGCTGATTGGACAGACCACTGGAGAGCCGTCCGAGATCCATGTCCTGGTCACGCACCAAAGCGCTGCGGCAAATGTTGTCGCTAGTCTTGTTCTTAATGGCAATGCCCGGATTCGGTTCGCCCGTAAAATGCGGCACCATAAACACCAGCGACCCAATGCCCATGATCACTGCACCGATGCCAATCCAGACTGGTATGTGCCGGCGACTGCCCAAATAGCTGACAAAGATGACAGTTATGACGTTGCCGATCTCATAGCTGGACGCGATCAGGCCCGAATAGCTCGAGGGTATATCGAAGCGTTTCTCAATTGTCGTTATCACCGAGTTGATGTAGCCAGAGCTGAGCGCCTGCTGCATCATTACCAACAGCGACAACAGCAGCACAAATATCTTAATTCTAGCAAATCTTTGGATGCCATACGGCCGGCAATTTAATATTCCGCAGTCCCGTGAACGAAACTCCTCCTCATCCTCATCATCGTCACGCTGATGATCCGCATTATTGCATTTGCTGGCTGCTGCCGCTGCTGCTGCTGCAGATGGCTGACGACTGTGGCACTTGAGGACGGCATTATCCAAAGCAGTCGTTGTCGTTGTTGTTGTTGTCGTCGTCGTCATCGTCATCGTCGCTGATGCCAATGGTGTCGTTGTCATCGCCATCGTCATCGTCGCTGAGGGGTTGGACAGTTCACCCATATGGGAGGAGGATGCATTGTCGTGGGCGGCATCAATGCTGCTATCATCGCCGCTGTTTGCCTCCGAATAGAGACCTGTCATCTGGTACATGGATTCCTGTCGCCTGCAATTAGATGAATCAATATCAGCTATCAGCTATCAGCTACTGCTCCACTGCGTTGTTTGCCACTCAATTCTCATGACTTTGTTTTGGCCAAAATATAAATATAAAATTTGGATTTTGATTGATTTAAAAATAACACAAAACATTCACCAAAAAATAAATGTGGAATCATTTTCAAATTTGACAAGCATTCGATAGCATCTAACACAATGTTCTCCTGATTCAGGAGTATATTAAATTAGCAGCAGGATATATATGCAAATGCAAATGCAAATATTTCAATTACAATTCTCACAACTGACGTAATTGTCATTTTCAATTAGGCAGTTGCAAAATAGAATTCTGTACAACAATGGCGGCATTTAAGCCAGAATAGCACTGGCCTAGAACTTGCACTGCACTTGCCAATTCAAATCGAAGGACTCACTTACAAATATCCGGATTCAATGTCAAAAACAAAAGGCTTCTCTCTGCCAGAGGCCAACCAACACTTCGCGACTGCTTCACTTCACTTGGCAACGGCAGTCTGCATACAAGCAACTGCAAGCAGGCAACCACTTCGCGGAGTGGCAAAAACTGGGAACGAGACTGCGTCAAAGCGAATGTGGCCAAATGGTTCACGTGACCGACAGACCGACAGGCAGACTGAGGGCACGAGAGCCTACTGGGCTGGCCCTGACTTGTGCAGCAAAACAAAAAACAGGCCTCGACTGCTCTTGTATCAATATTTTAGTATTGACCGAGTCCTCGTAATCGACTGCCATCGATTGTGAGTGTATATCTATGCCTAATGAATTATTGAAGCAAACCCCGCCCGAGGTGCCCACAATTTGCCTTGTACACCCTAAACCCTGTCCGTCCTTGGGTAATTACTCGAATAATCGTGACTGTTCTTTTGTTGTTTGGAGTTGTTGGAGTTGTTGGAGTTGCTGGAGAAACGATAATGTCGCGCGATGTTTGCTCGGCGTGGTGTCAATTAATGTAAATGGGGACTAGGAAGTGGCTTGACTAATGTCGTGCCACTGCACATTTATCTTTAGTTCTTTAGTTTGCTGTTTTTCTCACCTGTGACCTTTGCGATGTGCCGTACCGGTAGCGCCACCCGCCTCGGCATCGCTTATGCAGACACCTGTACCTGAACCTGAACCGACAATGGACCCGGTACCGTTGCCGTTGCCGTTGGCGTTGCTGCTGCTGAATGTGGCAGTCGATATGGCTGTCGTGCCTGTCACCGTGCCTGCGGTGCTTTTGTTTGTCGTCCCCGTCGCTGGGCTGAGCTCCTGCTCAAAGGATGGATTCGTATACTGCTCTGTATGTTGCTGCTGCTGCTGCTGCTGCTGCTGTGAACCGGATCTCTTGCCTGACATAATGTTGCATTTATATATGTAATGCGACCAATTTCCACCACCATTCAATCAGTTCTTTTCCGTTCTTGTAGTGCTAACTGAGCTTCGTGTTGTGCTTGTGGCATAACTCTGCAAGCAAAAAAAAAAAACAAAAATTATTGATTACATAATAAAGTAAAAGAGAAAAAAAAAATAGAATACATTAAATTATTGATTGCATAATATGGGGAAAAATATTATTTTTAAATTTGGCTGGCAGCAGCTGAAATGTTTTCAACTGAATCATTTTCAATGCCTTCCACATATTTATAATCCCGTGAAGGCGAATCCAGATTGAAAGACTTATAGATATACATATTGATTTATAGATATTTATTATGTAGTAATGAAAAGGGATTGCATTTAAATAGAATAAAATAAGAAACTGACAGATCTCATCTATCCAGGCATATTCGAAATAATAATAATTACACAAAAATTAAAGATTCTGTGCACGACTTTAATATTTCAATCCACATGTATATATATATATATATATATATATATATATATATTTTATATATATTTTATATATATATATATATATATATATAGATACATACAATGCCAATGAGCCTGCACAGAAGTGACCGAGTTAATGAGGAATGGGAATACAGAACTCCCACAGAAGTCAGACGATGCTCAACAAATGAATACACGCAAATGATACAAATATATATCTAAATACATATATATATATATATATATATATATATCTGAATGTAAGTCGGATTGTGCGGATTGCTGTGCGTGGCAGACAATCCACTTCCGGGAGTCCTGAAGTGTTGCTCCTATTGCGCGACTAATTGTGCCTTAAATCCTTGTGCCAGCTAGCGACAAGTGGCCATGAGCTGCTGCTGCTGCTGCTGCTGCTGCTGCACATGCGACTGCCAACAGAATGATTACGGAAGGCGCCAGCCTGTCACCACTTTAGTGCACCACAGCAAGTCGAGCCATGCCACATGCGAACCACCCAAGTCGAGGCTATGCCTGACGCAGGGTTGTGAGAGCATTAGAAGGATGAGACCGATGCCGGTTCATATTAAAAATACACACATTTAATGTAGGGCCAGACCAGGCCAGGCCCAGCCTTGTGGGGACTGTCGACAGACTTGTGTGTGATGTGCTCGTTGTGGCACAGCAGGACGAGTGGGACGAGTGGGACGAGGAGGATGTGCGCCTACAGCTTGGCTCTTTGCAATGCTATGAAATGGATTGGCAACAAAAGACGCTCGACTCGACGTCAGACGTCAGCTGCTGATTTCCCTTTCATTAATATGCGGGTCCCAGCAAAGAGCAGCCACAGCAACAGCAACAACAATGGCACTTAAACACGCCCACACTCGCCCACATATACGAGATATATATAGGAATATTGTATATACAGTGGTCTCTTTCTACAAGTTCAAGTGTTGATTTATCGGTTATTTATTTGCCTACTCTTAAATATGGTAAGCAAATCAAAGATTATTTATTATATGTGAGTAGTTCAAGTTATCGAGCGACCACTGTAATTTGCAATGGCCAGAAACTTATCGATTGGCAAACGCCAACGGAAATATGAAAATCAGCAAATGGCCAACATTGTTCCACCTGCTGATTCCCCGTTTATTACAAGACTTGTTGGAGTTGTTTTTTTCTTTGCTTTTTCCTTTGTTTTTTCTCTGTTTTTTTTTTTTTGGTTGAGTTAATGTAAATTGCATGAGCGGCAACTAATTGAAGATTTGACGTAGCTAAGTTCTTGTTGGTGTGTTGGCGCAACGGGTCCGGTGCTTAAATCCGTAATTTACGGCTTCCAATCTGACCCATTTATAGAGGCAAATGCCCGGCTAATGTTGTTCCTGGACTCCTGCACTCCACCGTCAGCCAAGCGCTGCTGCCCACTGAGCCAGTTAACCAATTATGTGTCGCTCCTAATGCTCCTAACATGTACATGTAACCAGCCAACCAGCCAGCCACCCAACCACCCGCCTTCTCTGTTTTATATATTCCTCGGCTCATCCAAAGTGTGAAGACCACATGCCACATACGTGGCATGGCCTATTCGGATATGCTCGTGCTGACCCACAAATGCTTCAGCTTATTGCTTTCATTTTTTTTGGGGTCAGAGCAAAAGTTGTCGCTTATGTCGCATCTGCATCGCATCCAATGGACAACAATTTTATAAATTCAACTTTGGCTTTTTTCTTTCTTCATTTTTTTTTTTTTTGAGCTTGGCTCGTGGCCAATGCAATTTGTTCGTTGGTGTCCCAAAACAGAGGACTCTCAAAATGAATTAAATTCATCAATATTGATGGATTATAATTGAATATCTTTCTGCTCTGTGTTTGACCTATGTCACGAACGGGAAGCACTGCTTTTAATTGAAACTGACGCTTGATAGATAATAGTTACTTCAGAATATATATTTATATATATATATATATACAGCTCTTTATTCATATATAAATTACACGCCTCAATTGTGTCAAAAACACACAACGATTTGTATCATCGTGATCGGAAAAGTACAATTTAATTAAATAATCAGTCACCGTAAAAAAAAACATGTGTTTCGATTCTGTTTAAACTGCATTATTCAGTTATCTGAAGTCGGTGCAAGTTCCAATTAAAAAGATAATGGCTGCAACAAGTTCAATTGTGCAACATTATGTCAATTAATTCCAGAGAAAAGCGAACTGAAATTCTGGAAATTTTGTGTGGTGAAAGTACAAAACTGCCAACAGCACTAAAAACTTCAACTCTTTTAATGGAGTTAACATTTCTGTTTTTTTGGGTAAATTGCGTAGCATTAAGTTTGTGACAGACGAGCAGAGGGCAGCAGTGGTAATGATTTGGGTGCTGGGACAGTGGACCAACTGCCAATCAGCTGACAACTGCTGATGGGTTTTTCATGACGCCGATTATAAAACTTAAATTGCAAGCAGATATTGCATAAGCCATTTATGCAATGTTTTCGTGCTCATAAATAAGGCAAATTAAACTACTTACTGAGATGATGACATAAAAATACTTACATTCAAAAATATTTTATTTAAAACTGCTAAGAAAATGCATTTCAGTCAATTCGAGTGTTTGTCAAATATGACTAGCAGTTGGCTAACGTGAACTTGGAAAGAAACTTGTAAAAAAAGTTGAAGGAACCAAAAAAAAAAACGGATTTGAAATTGTTATTCAGTGAAACCCGATTGCTTGTTTAGCTAACATGAGCTTTTGAAAAATAGTTCCTCATGATAAAAATATACATATTCAAAAGAATCTTTAAATGCTGTTTAAGAAGTTAATTGAAATTTGACTGCTTGTCAAATATAACTAGAATTTAGCTAGCCTGAGCTTTTGAAAAATAGTTGACTAATCATGATAAGAATACACTTATTCAAAAGAATATTTAAAAGCTGTTTAAGAAATTAATTGAAATTTGACTGCTTGTCAAATATAACTAGCTTGCAGCTAGCGTGAACTTTGAGAGCAACTTGTAAAAATGGTTAAGTGATTAAAATACTCGACTGCTTTACAACTTTTAAGCTGTAATTAGTTAAGTAATGCAAGATTATCTCATTCGTTAGACGGATGCTAAATGTTTAAGATCAGTTAAGAAATACTTATTACAAACATCAATACTATTAGTGAACATGTTTAGATTTCTAAAATGTTTCGTTTGCGGAGCTTGCCTGTTTGACAAAGTGCAAGTCACTGCCAAGTCGCAATTTTTTTATTTTTTACATTTTCAGTTTACAACATAATGAATCCAATGATTGCTGTCAATTTTGTTTTTTTGCATAACTTTTATGCGACACACATAATCCAGTTAGGTATGACGCACTGTCAGTCAGCATGGCCTTCAAAGCTGGCCAAAATGAGTGCCATTACCACTGACCACAAATACAAAAAACATGACCACAAAGCTAAAGAGAAACACACCCACAGCGCCACCAGAAACAGTTCAGTTCAGTTCAATTCAATTCAGTTCAGTTCAGTTGACTTATGTATATATTTTTTAGCCAATGGTCGATCGCTTGAAGATTGCGATTAGCTGCATGTCAGCTTATAATTGAGTTCAATACTTGGAAATGTATGAGCAGAACAAAGACAAGATTTTTTGCGTGGCAAGAGCAGCGGATAGTGGAGAGCATCGGCGAAGTTGCCGCTATTGTTGGTCCATTCAACTTGAATTGGGGATGACTAAGGTGCGGCCTTTTGCGTGCACTCCATGCACCGTTGATTATTCGAGACGCAACAATTACAACAGCAGAGACACAACGACACTCAGTGTGACATGTGACTTTTTGCACAATTGAAAACAATAACGAATTATACACAATATTGCAAATGACAGTGTGGTGTGTGTGAGTGAGTGTGAGTTAGACAAAAGTTGGAAACTGGTTAATAGGATTAGTTACTCCCGGTCTCAAGCAAGTCGACTTGTAATTTGATACACTCCATCTAACTGGCAATGTTGGCGTTGTGCTCTACGAGTCATTTGGGTGGGTGGCCAAGCACGTCAACAATATGGAAGCCCCTCGCATTCATTTAGACACCACCAGCAGCACCACATCGACGTCAACAGCAACCCACTTCCAAATCGCTGTGTGGTTTTCGTTTTATTTGCAAACAGTACAAAAAATGAAAAACAAACTAAAAAGCGTCTTTTGCTGAATTCCAAACTCCAAGCAATTGCACGAATGGCTCAATTGCAACAAAAATGTGATCAGCTGAGGGGCGCTTTTTGGGCATTAGGAAACTCGAGATTGCAATTGGCTATAATACTAAACCAAAAGTTACTTTAAGGTAGCGAAAGTCAACATAACGAAACCCCCATTGACCAATTGCCAAATATTGCAATTCACAATTAGCTACAAATATAAAATGCAACTTAAAAATGTATAAAACAACACAATTGAGACCTGCAGTTGTCAATTATTAAGTATAAATATAATATATAAAATATATTCAATGTATGCGTCTTGTTGATTTGAAATATATATAAATAATTGGGTCACAAAGTCAAGCCTCTTTTTAATCTTATGAAATTTCTTATCAACTTTTTTAATATTGACATTTTTTAATACGTAATATTTAAACTTACTTAT